AAAAAAAAAAAAAAAAAAAAAAGGACACTGTACATACTAGATTAAAGGCCTATGGTGTTTGCTATGACTATCTGTCTAAATTACATCAAATTAGAAACCCTTGCTTGTTATCACTCAAAGAGAGGTCAGCACCTGCCTCAGGGCAGCTCGTGTTTGTCAGCATTCACAAGTCTGACCTGTGACCTCAGGTCCCCTTTTTAGGTTGGCTCATGAAGGCTACTTATGTGTTTGGGTGTTTCATGCAGAAGGAAGTCTTTGGGCTGGGTCACTCACATTCCATACTCTCTTGCTAGATATTTACAGAGCTTATGGCTATTTTTAACACTTACCTTTGCTGCCTTAAAATCACAGCCATGACTGGCTTCACCTACATGAATGTGTTCAACCCCCAAAGCAAGTACTGTGGGGTGGATTCCATTATAACTGCAATGAGGAAACTGAGGCACAGAGAGGTTGTGCAACTTGATCAAGGTCACAGCATGGGGGATGCAGAGCTGGTGGAATGTGGAAGGCAGTGGGGTCTGAAGGAGCCAGAACAACTGTGCCAGGTTTGTGGGTGAAGGTTGGCAGCCACCGTTCTCTTTCCCATCATACTCCTCCCTAGTGACAGGGATGGCAAGAAACCTCTGCCCTGACCATTCTTGAAGCCCAATCCCAATCTCCTTATTCCCTGTGAGCCAGAGCAGGCTGGCCCTGTGGCCCTGCCCACTTCCCAGGGCATGGGCAGGGCTTTGGGTGGTGCCCAAGCACTACCTGGATGTCTTCCTGACCCCAGGGCGAAGTTCCTAAACTTCTACTTACCAAGATTATGTCCAAATTTGGGGTCACTTCTGCTGTATTCTCTAGTATTTGGAAGACCCATCCAGAAACCATGACTATGTGCTCTAAATAACCTTTATTTTGCGCTACTGATCTCTCTAAGCAAATATAGCTAGTACCAGATGGGACTGTTGCAGTGTAGAATTCTTAAGGAAAGAATGGATTCATTTTGAGTTTTCTTAAATTAGGTGAGAGAGTTTTCCCCCCCAGGCGATGAACTCCCACGTTCAACACTCTCAGTGTGACATTTTGTGCTGTTAAACTTGGTAAGTAAAGCTCAGCTATTCTGAGCTTTATGTGCCAGAAGCCCATGCTAAGATTCCTTTTTTAGGTTAGTTCATGAAGGCTGCTTGTGTGTTTGGGTGTTTCATGCAGAAGGAAGTCTTTGGGCTGGGTCATTCACATTCCATACTCTCTTGCTAGATATTTACAAAGTTCATGACTATTTTTAATACTTACCTTTACTGCCTTAAGATCACAGTCATGACTGGCTTATTTCCCTTAGCATGATCTCTTCAAGGTTTGTTCCTTATGCTGAAGAAAACAAGTCACAAAAGGACAAGTACTGAGGAATTCTACTTACATGAGGCAAATTCATTTGGACATATAGTAGAAAGACGGTGGCCAGGGGCTGAGGAGGGGAACGGGGATTTGTCCTTCATGTTTCAGAGGGTCAGTTTTGCAAAATGAAAAAGGTTTTCTGGGATGGGCGGTGGTGGCAGCTGCACAGTGTCAGTGCACTTAATGCCATGTAACTGTACACTTAAAAATGGTCAACTTGGCAAATTCAGTGTTTTACATGTGTATCACCACCATAAAAAACCCCACAGCTGTACAGTAGCCCAAGTGTCTATATCCAAGTAGGTACACAGTGATGGTGGCTATAGAAACATTCATATTCCTGCAATTAAAATATGATGTACATTATAAATATTACTAATAGCTGCTGATATACTTACATATTTTTTGTTTTTGTTTTTGTATTTTTCAAGTTTGCTCCTTGGCAAGTGGCAATCCATTTTAGCACTTTGAGTTGTTATTGTTCTGTGCAGGAGGGAAAGTAATATTCTACAGCATTATCAAAAAGTTTTTTTAAAGCCATGAAACTCCCTCAGCAACACAGGCAGAAATCCTCAGTAGGTTCTAGGTGAGAGCCAGAGTAGAGAGCAAAGATAGAAATCGCAGGCCCTGAGGCCCAGTGCTGAGACCAGATCTCCTGCTGATTCCCTATTTAACCTCATTGACTCCCTCTCTTCTACAATTATCAGGTTAGTGTGTTTTCTTTTTTTGCCTGACTTTTGTGATCTGGAGGAGGGCCTTGGGCAGTTATCCTCTCTAGCTTATCCATGGTCAAAGGAAATATTTATCATTGTTCATAATTCTTATAGAACTGAAAAAAACTTGGGTCTAAGTACTTAGGATCAGGTGTGTGCCATTTGACCATGAACCTTCACCTGTGAGAAAGTGCCTGCCAGTCTGTAATCACTCATATAAATGGGCTCTAAGCCAGCCTCCAGGGAAGACAGCCCTTGGGGTGAAGCAGTCCTTCATCTTTTCCATCAGGTGGTTTATCCTCATAAGATCCTCTACGACCACTTAGCCTGGCCTCTTGGTTACTCAGCTGGTTTCTATCCTGCAGCCATCAGAGCCAGCCCTTTGTGAGGTAATAGGCCTATAAGAGCAGGACTTTTATCCCAGGCTGAGGTAGGAGGATCATAGTTTGAGGCCAGCCTTGGCAATTTAGTGAGACTTTGTCTCAAAAAAAAAAAAAAAAAAGGGCTGGCTGGGTGCAGTGGCACATGTTTGTAATTCCAGCATGATGATTGGGAGTTCAAAGCTAGTCCTAGCAACTTAGTGAGGCCCTAAGCAATTTAGCAAGACTGTGTCTCAAAATAAAAATAAAAAAGGCTGGGAATGTGGCTCAGACATGAAACACCCCTGGGTTCAATTCCTGGTAACAAAATAAATAAAAAGTATTGGGGACATAACTGGTAGAGCATCCCTGGTTCCAATCTCCAGTACCACAAAACAAAACAGCAGGAGCTATAAGCCCAGGTCCTCCAGGGGCTGGGCAGGTGATAGCAGAGTGAAGAAGGCAGTGAGGATGGCAGGGAGGACAAACCCTAGAGGGACAGGGAGAGAGATTGAGAGTTAAAGGCATAGGAAACAAAAACAAAAACTCTGCAGGCCAAACAAAACATCAAGGTGAGGTCTGGCTAGGGAGCCCCAATGGGGAGTCTATGAGCAGCGGGAGCCTTCCAGTCCCACCGTTGGCCCATGTCCAGGCGCACTGTGGGTCCCACTGACTGAGGGTATACTGCTGCAGAAAGGGCTGGCCTGGAACCCACATGTCGGACAGTGACTTCAGGGCTCTCTTTCACCTCACTGTCAGCTAAGGCTTTCCCTAGATAACACGTCCTTCCATGTTTGAGTTGTCTTTTTAAACATAAATATATGGGTTTAATTTCATCTTACGCTATTGTCAGCTTTGGTACTTTTCTATTTTAATAATAGTCACCACTTTCCAAAAACTCTCAAGACTCAAAGTTTGGCAGAAATCTCGATGTGCATACTATGTGCCTTTAAAAATTACAATTATTTTCTCTTGGTTCTTTGGATTTAAAAATCAAAGGAATTGCTTGCGAACATTATTATAGGATGATTCTATTGGCCTTCTCTGAAATTTAACATGTCTTAAGATAGAATTTTTTTCTTTGGCTTTTAGGTTAACATCTACTGTGAGAAACAGATGATTTCAGTAGAATTCTAATCTAGGACACAACTTGGCAGACCTAGGGTAAATGTGGCCCCTGCAGATGTGTCATATTTGGCCAACACTGTTTCAAATGCTTTTTTTTTTTTTAATGAAATGCCTTCAGGGCATGTGTACTGGTGGGCCTGAAGTACCCCTATACAATAGCTTCCTCTTCTGAATTCAGTCTCTCCCTGGCCTGTGAAGCCACATGTGGTTGTGATTGGTGTTACCCTGGGGAAGCATAGCTGTCAGAGTGAAGTTTGGAATCGAGAGCAGGTGCAGGAGCTCACCCTGCCACACACTGCACAGGGCTAGACCAGTTCAGCTGCTGGAACTTTATAGAGCTCCCTCCTGGCCCTGTCGTAGGAGTGCCACGTGGCCTCTCAGTCTAGAGTGCTGAGAGGACCAGTGAGCAGCAAAGGATACCCGCTTCAGCCCTGTGCCACCCAGTTGACACCTGTGGCAAGCAGGCACCCTTGCAGTGCAGCCCATGGGGCATCACGCGGGAATGACAATGAAGCAGCTGCCAGGGAACAAGTGCTGATCCAAGTTCTTTCTGTCTGTGGAATGGTGGACTCCATGTTATAAACACAGGGTCCCTTCTTTGTTTTTTATATTTATTTTTTAGGTGTAGTTGAACACAATACCTTTATTCAATTTATTTATTTTTATGTGGTGCTGAGGATCGAACCCAAGGCCTCGCCCGTGCTAGGTGAGAGCTCTACCGCTGAGATACAACCCCAGCTCCACACACAGTGTCCCTTCTGATGTGGGACCTGCTCGTCCAAGTTTGCTTGGGGCTTTCCCATTTTAGCACCCAAAATCCTCCCACCCAGGAAGCCCCTCAGTCCCAGGCAAAGGAGAATGGTTAGTCACCCTTGGCAGGGTGTGGATTTTACCTACATTACTTGTATAGTATGAAGTAGAATTTAAAAAAAAAAAACACAAAACAACAACAACAACAAAAACTAGACCAAAGGAACAATCACGTTCTATAGCAGTGCAGGAGGCAGGGGCGGGGGGAGGGGGCGGGGGTAGAGTAGAGTGGGGCCAGAAGAGCACTTAACATTCTCTCTCTTCTTTCCTTCCTCCTTTCTTCTGTTCTTCCCTTTCTTTCCTTTCTCAGTACAGGGAATGGAACCCCAGGCCTTGCACATGCTAAGCAAGTACTCTATCACTGAGACATCCCCAGCCTGCACTTAACGCTTTTTATTTATGTATTTATTTATTTTTGAGAGAGAGAGAGAGAGAGAGAGAGAGAGAATTTTTTAATATTTATTTTTCAGTTTTTGGTGGACATAACATCTTTATTTTTTATTTTTATGTGGTGCTGAGGATCAAACCCAGTGCCCCGTGCATGCCAGGCGAGCGCATTACTGCTTGAGCCACATCCCCAGCCCTATTTTTTATTTTTTAGAGTAACTTTATGTTCAAGCAAAACTGAAGTGAAGGTGCAGAGATCCTGAGCATCCCTGCCACCCTTCACAGCACTTCACTGCCCCCACTGCCTCCTTTCTCACTCAACACCCCTTCCAGAGTATCGCATCTGCTGCTGTCAGTGACCTGTGCTGACACTTCATCAGCAGAGTCAGCAGTTTACATTAGGGTTCACATTCAGGGTGACGAGTTCTATGCAGAAGAGCATTTTAAAAAAGTGAAATAGGCTAGACCCACTCAGAGAGCTCTGCAGGAGGTGACAGTATTCTTCTTTGAATACTTGATCTCAGTCATACATTGGCATGTGTGTCCGGGCAGTAACATAAAACTCTTCCCTCACTGTGGGTTGTGGTGACAAAAGCTTGAGAAGCTGCATGGTGTTCAAGCTGCATGGAAGGCATGTCAGGTCAGGGAGACCCCAGAGGAACTTTATGGGTGCCTGGAAGGTTGGGAAGAGGGAGGAAATCTGAGAGAGACCCAGAAGTGTGGAGGAGAGATTGCAGGGCAGACAGGAGGTAAGGGGCTGCTCAGGAGGGATGGCGGCAGCAGGGGTAGAGTGGGGCATGGTGAAGGAGAGCCAGGCCTTGGACTTGCTGGATCCTAGGGAGCAAGAGGGACTGGGGTTTGAATTTCTGGTTTCATCTCCTGGAGCCTCTGCTGCTCAGCAGTGAGGTGGAGAAGCAAGGGCATGGGGCAGCCTGGGGCCTGAAGGATGGGAGGGTCATTTAATGTATTAGGGTTAGGCTTTGTTGAGGAATGTTTGTGGGCAGCTATCTCTAGGATAGCTCAGGAGGGCAGAGATGGCATGAACCAGGTGGAAGGCCAGCATGGGATGCAGGGTGGAGACTGGTGTCTCACCCCCAGGTAATGACATCACCATGCTTAGGTGTTGACTTGCTTCACAGTGTAGAGGCTTTATTTGCAGCACAGCAGGAGGCAGAATGTGAACAGGACTCCAGAGACTTCTGCAGGCCCCTGGCTTCCTCCTGAGGAACACTAACCTGGCTGAAGGTGGTAGTTCTGCCCTGCCATCTTTCCCAGGGGTCCTACTGCCAAGGCAGGATGTCCTTAGGTGTCTGCCTACACCTGGGGAGAGCCTTGGCCATTTTGCCTCTTAAACTATTGGAATGCAGATTTTCCTCTTTCCCTCATTAGGATACCCCACTCACTGGTCCCTATTTTTGTTTCTTGCCTTTAGGGACCCCACACCCCCCACCTGCCTGGCAGCTATGTGATATTCCTTTTTTTTTGGTGAATAAATATATGAATCGAACCCAGTGCCTCACACATGCTAGGCAAGTGCTCTGAGCCACAACCACAGCTCCTGATATTCCTTTTGAAAACACAACACCAAGAACCCTCCCAAACCTGAACCATAGAATTTGCTGATTTTAGAGACCAGACCTTTGAAACAAAAACGCCTGATCATCACACTCATGCCACCTAGGGTAAGATGGGGACTCTGATATCTCTTTCAGGCCAAAGGAAACTGGGCACCACTTCATCCAGAGCAGGTCCTTCCACCCTGCCCACACACGCCTTTGCCCTCAGATTGTTGGCTCTTTGTGACCAGACGCTGTACATGGTTATAGGTCCAAGGAAGGTTCCTGTCCTTGTTGGCTGCTAAATAATGTTGGAGCCAGCAGTTTTAGGATGTGGCCCAGAGATAAGCTTCCTGCTCACACAGCTGCACAGGGTCACTGCTGGCTGCTTGGCACATTAGGAAAGTTGGTGTTGGGAATGGGCCTGAGGAGGCATCTGCTGAGGAGAGGTTTGCAGTCGAGGGATGTGATGCTGGTGCTGCTGGCAACTGGTGTTGGCTTCTCATCCATCTGTCCACACACCTGCAGTGCCAGAACCTGCACTTCAAAGAAGACCCCGGACCAGTTTGCAGTGTGATGCTTGGTCAATAGAAATACTCAGAGGTCCCAGAGCAGTGGCCCTGTCTGGCTGGCTCAGGAGACACCCATGCCTCCCTCAGGTGCAGTGGATGGTGTGAATGTGGAGGCAAACAGTGGGAAAACAAACCGTGAGAGGCTCCAGCCAGCTACAGACAGGTCCTAGGGGGCACTTATGGGGATAAGGGAGAAGTCTATGCCTATGATCGCTGGTGATTAGCATTCATTGACCTTTGCTGGGCACCCCAGAGTATGGTATGAGCTAGACAGGTAATTCCAGGTAAACTGGCTACTGTACCTGTCTCCTCACCCTGTGATCAGTATATTGGGGGTCTGCAGAGTCCTATGGCTACTGGGAGCTCATACATGGTATAGCTGGGGGAGGTGGAAGACCCATAATAGTATATTTAATATTACCCTGAAACCTGGAGAGATGTCAAAGACACAAGTGAGGCAACAGCTTCTTCTGTTCGAACCCAGACCAAGGAGGGAAATCGGGGGTCTGTGAAGATTCCCTGTGAGACAGCCTGGTGGTATGGGAATGCCCAGGAGC